AATCAAGGCTGCTGATGATATCCGACTTTTGATCAACCATGTACTCTCAATTGCAAGTGATATCACCATTGCTAGAAATCCAATTCGTCTGCTTCAGGTCTTTTTTTTGTTTTTCATAGCTTGGCTAAACTATTGTATGTTTAATATTTGTATGTTTTGTATTTGTTTTTCAATGAACATAATTTTATTTTATTTTTAAGAACTCCATTTTGGAGTTCACCAATGGACACCCAAAATATTGAAAGTCCTTAACCTTCCAAAATTAAATAAAATAATTAAAACAAAATGCTAAGGACCCTCTTTAGAGGTTCAGCAATGGAGTTGCTCTTAGTGAGTCTAGTGAGTAGAAAAGAAAACCAGTACAAATCAAACACCATAAAAGTCAAAAAGCAGTTGACCCAAAATAAATTAAGGAGACTTTGATAATTCTGATTGTGAATCAGTAAGCCGACAAAAAAAATCTTGTGATTCAGTAGTGAGTATCCCCCAAAGTCAGCACATTGTTTTCAACTTTATTTAGAAGTCGTTGGATCCTTCTAAAAAATGTATAAATTTTAACGATTCCATATCATATGAACGCTAAACGTAGCTCTTCATATTGTAACCAACGTCAAATCATTATCACTTTGAATTATTTGTTACAAAAACAAATGTTTCTATTGTAAATCTCGGATTTCTCCGTGTCCTTGATAATTGTCGTTATGCCTACAAATAGTATATGTGATTAATGTATCATGGAGCTATACGAAGATGATACACTAAAATTCTAATAGGTTGATTGAAAAGTGAATACAGATATTTAAAGGAAGAAAAAAGATTTGTTACAAAAGTACAAATAAACTCCCATGAAGTATACATGTAATATAGGTGCATGATGTGTGAACAGCGGTGATGCAATGTTTGAAATGGACATATACCCAACAAATCAACTACAATTTTGCCACCAATTTGCTGGTAACATAAAGGACATAAAAATATCACATGTTTCTGTTTTGGCATCGACTTGGTCAGAGAGTAAATAAAAGTATGAATCACATAATTTTTTAGTGTGGAATTTATCCTCAAATAAAAAAGTTTATAATGGGCCAAGCCTAAAATTAAAAGTAAATTTTCCGTTTTTCTGTGGGTTTCTATGTTCTGGACCAGACTTTTTGGCCCTATTATACTTCATTCTCTTACGTTTATATATTATAACAATGATTGTACGAACCCCAACGTTTAGTCTTAATCCAACAAAGTAAAAGATTCGACCCAAAATAAGAACACAAAGGCGGCCCACTTTAACAAAAAAACAGACTCCGCTGATTAATCAGATCTATCTGCGTAATGTAAGATAATTAATATGCGATTATTATATTTTTTAACAACATATTTTGTGTTCTGTCTGAAACGCTGAATAAATCATAAACCCTAAATCAGTTTTGAGTCATCTGTTATTTTAACTGTGCTTGAAGTTTCTAAAACAAATAAAAAAACTTTGTAAATATTAAAATTATAAATTATTCATTTACATAACTAATAAATAAATTTCAAACAGCTATTTGTCTTAATCAAATTTTCTATAATTTTGCATTTATAGAAATTTAACTTCACAATGTTATTCACTAGGTTGTATGGTTAATTATTTTTATTGATTTATTTTATTTTAATTTAAACTAATTGAATATTTTATATGGACACTAAATAAATTAAATTAAGCTTAAATGTAGTTTTGTAACGGTTTGGACACACTTCTGTGGACATTCCATTCCCTCTGCTCTCTCATTGCTTCAGGAATCAGGCGGTTGCTGGTATTCTTTCAAGTCATCAGGTGACCTCTTTTATGGGCTTATCAGCTGTGATACTGGTGTGAGAGGAACATACATATTTTCTAGCAAACGTCAACAGCTGAAGTCGGGGTCATTGCTCGTGCTGATCGCCTAATATGTGATCATCTCATCTCCATCCCTTTATCTCCCGCTTCTTCGTCATCTCCTCTGCTGGTCTACTTTGGCCTATCACCTCCTGTTCCATAATATTTTTATCGGTTATGTAACTGTTTATTCTGTTTAAACTTATTGTAATAAATGGATCTCCATAAACGTTATAAGAGAAAAGATTTTATGAATTAACATCTATACCCAAAAATGTAGTTTTGTAACATAATTGTGTGTGTGTAACCATAGAGCCATTAGAATACATACTTTTTATTATTATTGTAACAAAAAAATATTTCATTTGTCACAAGTGGCAAAATATCGAATGCTTTCTTTTGTCAAAATCAATGTTTAAAAGGAAATATATGTGAATTTCCAATATCATCATTCATGATCAACAAAAAGAAAAATAGAATCTCTTTGTTTGATAAGGCGAATAAAGGTAAACTTTGTAGTTGGAGAAAGCTTCTGTAAAGACAAGAATTGCTTTCGGCCTTTTGTCTTTGAATTATATCCAACTTTGAATGTTGAAAAAAAATCCAACTTTCACGCCTCGTGCAATTCTTGTCTTTACAGAAGCTTTCTCCAACTACAAAAGACTTTTCTTAGTGAATGCATCCATTACCAGTTACCACAACATAATTTCGAGCTCAACTAAGAATAGTATATGCAAGAGCAAGATTGATTTGATTTGGCACATACAACGTTTTAAAAGACATATATCAACAGGTTTTACACAGATCGAACATCAAACTTAAAGTTGAATATTCAGGGGATACAAAATTACTAATAATAATACTGAAATAATAGATAAAAGCTTAAAGCTCTTTGAAAAAAGTAACGTCATGTCCTCAAAGTTCCAGACATTAAAACATATACTATTCCACGAAGAAGACACTGCCATTAGTCTCCAACACAAAAATGTGACTATGGAATTTTTTGTCTGCCTAATGTTCACTACTACAAAGAGGTATTTAGATTTCGGTTGTAGGCATATGATTCTACTTACAGAAAAGTAAGTAATAATACGAGTGAACCAACAACAGATGATATATTCATTTATATCTACTTTTTGAATGTGAAAATAGTCAAATACTAATGTATAATTTTACTGTTACTTTCCACCAATACTCAACCAACCAAATGTACAGTCTTGTAGCTATGATGATTGGATTTCACCATACAACATAGTGAAAGAGCGGTAGCAAATATATGCGGGAATACAATGACATATACATAGCCAGTTCTAGCTTTTTGAGGCTGCAAGCTTAACATGTAAAATGTGGCCGCAAAATAATTTATGCGCTGGGGAATGATCGAATCCGCTCTTTTTGAAGTGATCAATGCTGTTTCAACCACTAGATTACATATTTTTTGACAATTTTTTGGCTGGTTAAGTTATTATAAATTGACGGCTGGAATCATATGTTTCATCCGTTTATAGGTAGAACTGGCTCTGGAGATATATATATAACCACTAAACCATTTTATATAAAAAAAATCAGTTGCAACCATTATGAATAATTCCAAATCTTGGCTATAACACTATCTCACATTTATTCTCTATTTTTTTTTATAAAATAGAAGATTTTTTAACAGAAATGGATTTCTCTCCAATATACTCTTCTATTTTTTTTCTCTAATAAAATACTTACTATATTCGTTTTTAGTTTTACAAATAATATCCTGTATTTGTGAAAGTTGAAAATT